CGTGAGACTATTGAAATTATTCAATTAGCTTTTTGGCCATCACAGAACAAGGGATCTTCTCATAACCATAAATCTAAGTTTCGTAAGGGTAATAAGTCATACCAAAATTAGCAGAGTAAAAATTTTGGAGGTCAAACTTCTAGTGGTCCCAAAGGAACTATAAAGACAAGATCAATACAAGTTCTGCGAAAAGAAGGGTCACTAATAGAAATAATGTTTTAAGTTTAAGACTTGGTTGTAAAAGAAGAAGAGTTCGGCTGGTATCTCCTTGGCCTTAGTTTGTTCCGAGTCTTCCTTTGTAGATGTACCTTTAAATTCTTAGTTGTTAGACTCTAGAGCTAATATTCATATTGTGAATTCTTTATAGAGGTTCACAAGCAAATGGAGGCCAAGTGAGTATGAAGTGAGCTTGTGTGTTGGAAATGGAGTTCAAGTAAAGGTTGAGTTCATAGGAGTAGTGAAGTTGTCTTTAGAGTCTGATTTTTCTCTTGTTTTGGAAATACTAGGGGTGGGTGCAGGTCGGTTCGGTTCGGTTTTCTTTAGAACCGAACCGAACCAAAATTTTCGGGTATCTAGTAAATGGAATCGTCGGGTCCAAATATAATTATGGAACCATTCGGGTTCGGTTCTGTTCGATTCAATTCGGTTCGATTCTGTACTATAATTAAATTTTTTAACATTTATAACAACATTATATAAATACAACTAATGATACATTCAATGGTTTTGGAATGCCATAGACTAGTAGACTACCTTGTTCAAATGATCGCTACGGTTAAAGCTTCAGTCGGCGCAGGTCGCAACTTCGAGCGGAGGTCACAGCATCGATCGACGATTGTATAGGTTTTGAAATGTCAGCGAGGCTACGAGAGTGAGTACGAGAGTCGAGACAATTTTATGCACTTTAGTAAAAGTGTTTAGAGTTATTTAGTGGATTGGATCTTGTTGGGCTAAGAAATGAAACAATAAAAGGGGTAATTGGGCCAAAAATTAAAAACTTAGAAATGAAAAAAATTATTGGGCCAAAAATTTGGATTTAAAAATTGTTAATTTGTTAATTTGTTTAGAAAAAATTAAAATTAAAATAATTTGATTTACTCAATATTAAAAAAAAAAAAAGAAATATTCGGTTCTTATTCAGTTTTTCGGTTCTTGGTCTAGAATCGAGAACCGATTCTCAATTCAGATACCTGTTCGGATATTTAATTTGACAAGAACCGTCGGGTTCGGTTCGATTCGGTTCGGGAGATTCACCCAGCCCTAGGAAATACAGTTCTTCTACCGACAATGAGACGGAATTTAATTTCTTTATTGAAACTTGATGCTTGTGGGTTTTCTTTTAATTTTGGTATTGGAATGGTCGAGTTGTTTTATGATTCTCGTTTGATTGGATATGGCCTTTTATTTGATGGTTTATATAAATTATCTTCAGCTCCTTTTTGTGAAGTCTCTTATGTTACCAATATATCGAAGAAAAGTGTTTTAATCCGTGAATCATCCTCCATGTTGTGGCATAAGCGGTTGGATTACATTTCAAGGGATAAAATGGAAAGATTGGTAAAAGTTGAGATACTTTCCTCTCTAGACTTCTCTAATTTTGATACCTTTGTGGATTGCATAAGAGAAAAGCTAAGTCTACAAGGAAAGGTTCCACTAAGAGCAATGGTATTTTGGACTTAATACATACTGAAATCAATAGACATTTGCCTTCCACCATATGTGGGAGCAAGTACTTCATAACTTTTATTGATGATTTCTTACGATATGGATATGTTTACCTGATTAATGATAAATCTCATATACTTGAGAAATTCAAAATTTTCAAAATGGAAGTAGAGAAATAATGTGGGAAAAGTATCAAAATTGTAAGATTTGACCTTGGTGGTGAGTACTCTGGTAAGTATGATGAGTCCAGTCAAAACATGGGTGATTTTGTAAAGTTTTTACAAGAGTGTAGAATGGTGCCTCAATACACCATACTAGGAACACCTAAGCAGAATGACGTTTCTGAAAGATGTAATTGGACTTTGAAAGATAAGGTCAAGAGCATGATGAGTAGAACAAATTTTTCACAATATCTATGGGATGAAGCCTTGAAAACTGCTATCTCCATCTTGAACAGAGTTCTAAGTAAAGCAGTTATAAAGACACCTTTTGAATTATGGACAGGATGTAAGCCAAGTTTAGCTCATTTCAAAGTTTGGATATCTCCAATTGAGGTTAGGACTTATAATCCTTTTGAAAAGAAATTAGACCCGAAATCCACTCCCGGTTACTTTGTTGGATACCCGGATAGATCAAAAGGATACAAGTTTTACTGTCCAAATATCATGGCACAAGAATTGTTGAGTCCATTACCGCTAAATTTCTGAAGAATGATTTTGGTGATAGTCGGAGTTCTGCATTTAGAGAATTTTTTTGTTGAACCAAATCAAGTTGTTCCAGTTTCTGTTATATAGGAAAGAGTTGGTTTTTAGCCAATTGAAGTTGTTACTGAAGAACTGAGGAACCAAGAGGAACTTCCAATTCCTCCAACAACGATTAGGTCAGTTTCTGAGCCACAAGTTAAGAGATCGCAAGGGGAAAGGATGTTTGCATTGCCAAATGATTACATTATCTATCTATTAGAGAGTGATTTTAATATTGGGCATATTGTTTATCTTGTTATTTATAATCAAGCATTGATAAGTCTTGAGACAGATAAATGGATAAATGTTATGGAAGATGAAATGAATTTTATGAAACAGAATAAAGTTTGGGAACTTTTTAACTTCCTCCAGATTCTAAAACTATAGATAACAAGCGGATTTGAAAGAGAATGTTAAACGAAAGAAAGCAAGATTGGTTGTAAAATGGTTCACTTTACGAGAGGGTATTGATTATATTGAAAACTTCTCACTTGTTTCATCAAAAGATTCTTTTCGAATTATCATGGTACTTGTGGTACACTATAATTTGGAGCATCATCAGATGGGTGTTAAGACAACATTTCTAAATGAAAATCTTTTTGAAAAGGTTTATATGAGGCAACCTGAAGGTTTTGTCGTGGAGTGAAAAGAAAACTTGGTATGCAAGTTAAATAAATCTTTATATGGCCTCAAACAAGCATCACAACAGTGGTATTTAAAGTTTGACGAGTTGTGACTTCTCTTGGTTTTGTTGAAAATATAGTTGATCAATGCATTTACCTCAAAACCAGTGGGAGAAATTTTATTTTTCTTGTCCTATATGTTGATGACAATTTACTTGTTAGACGTAACTTGTGGTTGTTTCATGAGACAAAAAAAATGTTATCTGGTAATTTTGAGATGAAAAATCTTAGAGAAGTTTCTTACGTGCTTAGTATTGAAATACATCATGATAGAAATCATGACTTGTTGGAACTTTCTCAAAAAGTTTATATGCTATGTGTTCTGGAAAGGTTCAATATGTAGAACTGTACATGCAGTGATGTACCTATAATAAAAAGAGATAAGATTAACAAAACTCAATGTCCAAGGAAGAGAGGTGTCCTGGTGAGTATAGTCGGTTAGTGTGTTGGGAATTGATGAGTCTTGTTGGAATAGGTGATACCGTCAGTATTTGCATTCCCGAGTTAGGTATTTTGGCTTGCAACTCCGACCAAATTTTTTGGCGTGAAGGTTGGATATTGGGTGTTATGTGTAGATTGGAGTGAGAGCTTTCCGATGACATAGAGGTCCAACGATTTGGGTTCCAAAATTTTTTGGCTTCTAAAGTGGTGGCCGCTTTTAGTAGTGGAGGAGGTGGATGGAGGAGGAGAAGAAGAGGAGAAGAAAGAAAGAGTTTTTGCTTTAATATTTTAATAATATATTTTGACTCGTTTGCACTTTTTAAAAAATTTAAGAGTAAGATTGCTATTTTTTTCTTTATTTCTCTTCTCTTTTCTTTTCTTTTCTTTTCTTTTTTTATTTAAATAAGAGGATATATTGGTCATTTTATGTTAAAAATTGATGAAAATGATATTTTCCACAATGAAATGTGAAAATAGGGGTGAAAATACCAAAAAATGGAAGATATGATCGTTTTGCACAATTACATTGAAAGGTATGAACGTTTTGTGCTCATTACCCTTATGAAAATTGCCTGTTGATAAAGGAAGCGTAAGCAAAGAATGATCCAGTGAAGATTTCAAATATAGACTCTTTAAGCATCGATTGCCATTTTTAACAAGATTCCTTTAAGAAGTCAAAATCTACTGCACTATCCTGCTAAAGAGTCTTTCATTTCATAGTATATTGGCCAATGATCGTGCTTCAAAGTTTCGCGGGTTTTTCACCAGCATCTGTGAATTGTGACCAATTCTTACGACTTGTGACCGACGTCTATTTGTGACATGTAGCTTGTGGCCATCTATGACCAATTGTAACAAACACATCTATTCGTTTGGAATGACATCTAAACGGTCATCATTGTTCATTAAAAAGTTCTTAGATTGTTTAAATGGCCACAAATACTATAAATTGCCTTCTTCTATGTCATGATATCTACACCAAATAGATACAATATATACATCGTATATATACATTGAAACTATCATGATACACACCTTGATATACAAATGCAATATTTCTATAACTTCTATTTCAGATTTTCTAGTACAATGCATAAAGTTTTGTTCATTGGAATTCTTACAGATTGTTGTACTACTTTCATATAATAATAATAATAATAATAATAATAATAATAATAATAATAATAATAATAATAAAATTCATTATATCTTGAAAGGTGATTATTGTGCCTTCAAGCACCATAGAAGAGAGCAAATTCTTCTTAATAACACAATGAATTCAGCAGGCTCGAATTATTATCTTGTTCTAGTTTTGTTCATAATTCGATCCCATTGATCATATCGCACCTGTTTCAAAGAAGAGTAAGCGTCTTCAGGCTGTTAGGAAGGAAAAATGTGATACTCCAGAAAGTGACAAGCAGACGAGAATCATTGCAACAGGTTGCACCATTAGATGCCAGCATAAATGTTCCTTGAAATATAGTGCAGTTAAAATACAGTACATGTGACCAAATTTTGTTAATATCAAACATTTCTTACAGTTTTACATAACACATCAATGTGTTGACTGCATTTTATTTGTAAAAATGTCATTTTTACTGACTATCATTTTGCTCTAATTCTGTGGAATAAATCAACCACCGAGCTGACATAAACTAGCATATTGCGATGTCCCAAGATTTTCATTCTTTTACATTATCTGCTGCAAAATCTTTTGCAATTCATCCGCTCTACAGGGAAGTACAAGAGCACCCTTATGTTCAAATCCATACTCCTCTTCAGCCAACTCCATCAGTTTCAAGAATGCAGGATGCTTAAGAAGACATAATTCCACAACAAACCTCTGTGCTCCTCGTTCCTCGTTCTTCCCGGCAAGAATGGCGAAATGCCCTTCCTTTACATCGTCCGGTACCATCCCGTTCTCTTCCACTTCTTCAAACTCACCAGCATTGAGATCTGGCAATCTGGTGTGCAAGATTTGAAGTAGATTCTGCAGTCTTTTGATTAAATGCTTAAACATTATCAAACCTCTTCTTCTTTCTGACATTATCATTTTCTTGAAGTAGAAATATGTAAGATGAGTACAATTTGAAGATTTCTGGAAGGAATTTATAACTGGATTGTGAAATGAATGATAGGTGTATGTATGATGAAGTTTCTAAGATAAAAGGCAAACATGGGACCTTTGTGACATAAATCATAAATGCAACTGTACTGTGTTTGAATTGCTGCATTTTTTGGGTAATTTTCTGTGTGTTTCTTGTTTGCTGGGAAAAGATGGAAACGCGTATAACATTTAACCGCCTCATCTCTACAAATTTACAGTTCGTTGATGTTGTTTTATTTTTGTTTCCAACTATGCTGGATTGTGAAATGAATGATAGGTGTATGTATGATGAAGTTTCTAAGATAAAAGGCAAACATGGGACCTTTGTGACATAAATCATAAATGCAACTGTACTGTGTTTGAATTGCTGCATTTTTTGGGTAATTTTCTGTGTATTTCTTGTTTGCTGGGAAAAAATGGAAACGCGTATAACATTTAACCGCCTCATCTCTACAAATTTACAGTTCGTTGATGTTGTTTTATTTTTGTTTCCAACTATGTTTAGACTTTAGAACGTTCTATTTTGCTTATAAATTAGGCCGGGGAGGGGGGGGCGGGGGGGAATTACTTTTAACGATATGATAAATATTGTATTTAGTGGCCTTGCTAAAATTGCTTATTTTAGCAATAAGATAGATATATATCCCCTGTTTTAGCCTCGTTATTTGGTAAAAATAAATTTCGGAATAATGAATTTTTGGAGAACGTGTAGTTACAAAGTAGAAAAAAGTTTTAGACTTGCGTGTAATATTATTTTATTAAGAGAATATGTAGTTGAAAATAAATTTGAAGAAAAATGTATTCTTGAAAATAGGGCTCAAACAAGGGCATCCCATTCTGGGACAAAAAAATTCATTTTGAATAGTAAATTGATGAAGAATGTGTGGTTAAAAATTAAGAAAGAGTTTTGGATTTGTTTTTAATATTATTTTATTAAAAAATGTGTGGTTGAAAATGAATTTTTAAAAGAATAGAGTACAAACAAGACACTAGTATTTAATGGTGGAGGGAGGTGGGGGTAAGTGGAGTCATGTGCCTTACTAAAATTTGGGTTTCTTCTTCTTTTTCTTCTTCCAATCTATACTTCGCAAATTATTGTATTTTACTCATTACTATACCTGAATATGAAAGATTTATACGTGTACAGCTTTGTATATGTTTTATACGTGATGCCTTTTGAAATTTAAAAAAAAAAAAAAAAAATTGAGATATGAAATTTGATAGATGCGCGTTTAGAAAAATAAGCCATACAAAATGAGTGGATGAAAATTTAATAATAGAAATATTTTATGGGTTCATTTGGGTTGGATTTCAAGAATTATGGAATGAGTCGTAGAAGGGAGTTGAACTTTGCTGGAGCTAACCATTTTATGCTTTTAATTCGAATAGAAAATTTTTAATTCATTCTATAAAATTATTAATATTTTATTATAGGGTCGTACTATACGAATATAGAGGTTGACACAACGGTTGACATAGCACACACATGGGGAGGTCGGCATTATTTTATTCTTGCGGGACCCATGCCTTGGTTGTAAGTGTGGTGTTATTCTTTCTGTCAAATATTATGTTCGTATGACATTTTCCTTTATTATATTATATACCTAGTCTTGGCTTCGACTATATTATTCAAAAAGAACACAAAACAAAGGTTTAGAGAAAAAAGAAAATCCTATTTGTAGTTTTATTTTCCCAATTAATTGTGTAATGTAAACACTATTGGATGTTACCGACAGAATTTTCTATTAGTTCAAAATTATGATTTCAATTTTCTGATATTTAATGCAACATTTTCCCGTAAAAATAATTTAATTAAAATTATGTGAAATAAAACTGTGCTCGATGCACCGTCTCAAGACTTTGTTTTCTCTTTCTTTTAAATTATTATCCACTTGAAGGACTGGTATATTTGCAGCAAATTGAAGTGATCACCCCCTAAAAATAGGGGGGGAAATCTGTTTGAAAAAATAATGATTTACAAAATGATTAATATTATAAAAATTTAATAACAAAGTCAGTATTTTGCTACTCTGATTGGGGCCATACCTACAATAAACTAGCGTTGGCTGGGGTCAAATGCCTCGATTTTAAAATTTTAGTTTTGTACAAAGAAAATTGTAAATTTTATAATTTTGACTCCACGCTATGTAATCCTCAATTTTTAGCATCTCTAGCAAATTTGCTCCAATAAAAAATAACTTTATTTCCCCAATTATTAATTCCATTTGCATATTCTATGTGCGGCTAACCAAAATTTGATTTATTTTATGTTCTCTTAACAAAGTATTTGAATAAAATAAATAATTTTATAGTTTTCTTCAAAAATCACTTTCACTAAAAATGTCATTATGCGATCGATTATCTCAAGCAGCTGCCGACTACCTTAATGTCCTTATGAACTCTTTGCTACTTCTAAAGTATTCATTTATTAGGTTTCTACTATTGAATCAACGGCTGCTTCACGTTTGGAACCTTTCCAACATACCGATTAAGAGTAAACCAGTTTCTCCATATGAAATCTTCTCAAGATTTCATCTATGTATATTGGGATGAGTTAAGCAATCTTCTAGATCTACCTCTATAGATCAAGTTGCTTATTTCATATCGTTTATGAATAAATCCTTTAACAACCATAATTTCAACGGTTGAAACGTAGGGATGTCGTTTTAGGAATACGAAAAATGCTCCCACTATCTTCTTGTAAACACACAATTCGTTTTCAAATTTGATAAAATCAAACACTTTGACTTTTCATCAAATCTAAGATTTCAACTCCAAGAGACTTCTCTTAACCTATAGTCACGATATGCAACTGTTGCAAACAAAACCCGAATGGACTTAAGCAAGGCTACAGGAGAAATATTTCACCAAGGTTAACATTTAACCTTTGCTTCTAGCATTGCTTTGTATATATGGATATTCATATCCATATCGACCTTTTCTTTTGTAAACTATTTACAAAAGCTTATGGGCTTTATTCCATTAGGAGGCTTGACCAAGGTCCAAACCTAGTTCACTTGCGTCGAATTTCATCTCGAGTTTCATGGCATTTTGCTGTCTCTTTTAAGTCAACACTTGACTTTATTTTGTTGCAACTAGCAGGTTCATTATCCTGGATCACTGATTAATGACTCGCACCTTCTTGAAGGTCGAATGAGCCTACTAGATTCACATAGAGCTGTCATGTCCTCAGGAGTCTTTACTTCCTGATCCAAAGTATGTCCCATATCAGATATGGGATCAAACTCAGATTTATCTACTTGGTTAACTATATCTGTGGACTCTTGAACTCTTTCAAAATTCTATTTTACTCCCACTGTCCTCTCCTAGAGTAAACATTTTCTCTAAGAAGACGATATGTCGTGAGACGAAGACTTTCTTCATGATAATAGAATTATATTCAATTGTCTCCTTTGAATATCTCACAAATATGTATTTATCAAATTTAGTCTCAAACTTATCCGATTTAAGGCGCTTCAAATAAGCGTCATAGCCCCAATCTTTCAAATAAGATAAATTGGGACTATTGTCTTTCCATAACTCGTATGGAGTTCTGTTAACCAATTTAGATGGGACATGGTTTAATGTGTTGCACACTGCAATCAATGCGTGACCTCAAAATAATTTTGAGAAATTTGCATGGCTTGTTATTAATCGCATTATATGTAATAATTAATGATTCCTCCTTTTAGATACACCACCTTGCTGCAGTGTATATCAAGGAGTCCACTGCACGAAAATCACATTCTCTCTTAGATAATCTAAATTTTATCTTTAAGATACTCTCACTTGATCGAATCTTAAGGTATCTTTACCTCTTTATTTCTCTAATTCTAGTGTGAATCCCTTGAACTTTTCAAGAGTTTCATATTTGAGTTTTCATCAAGTATACTTGATCATTGATGAAATAAGAGAAACATTACCTGACATTGATTGACATGAATCCATATGCATCACTATGCATTAGACCGGTAATTATGCTGACATTTCTTCTTTTCAAGCAAAAGAAGATTTGGTTATTGTGCCAGAATTGCATAATTTGTACTTGTCAAAATGAATTAATCCCAAGTATACATCTTTATGTAACTTTGGAATTATATTTCATCTAAATGACAAAGTCTGTCATGCCAGATTTTGGTAATAATTAGATTATAGTATTTATGCCTTATAATTTCTATACTTATTATAGAATCTTTAGTATTAAAGAATATAAATGTCGTTTTATAATTTACTATAGCCATTAGAATTTTTAACAAGATAAACAAGAACAACAATTGTCCTAATCATTAAAATAGTTCATGTCTGAACATGAAATTCATTTTAATGTTCCAGCTATAGTTGGCATAAAACGACATTTCTCTAATTTCAATACTAAACCAAAAGGCAATGGTAAGAAGCATATTCATACAGGTAATGTGGCGACCTTTGCTCATCTCCAACGTGTATGTCAACTTCTCCCTTTCGCAGTGGTCTGCTTCTTTTTAGTTTCTCCATATTTGTATAAATATGATATTTACACCTGGTATCATATACCTAAGAAACTCGTGAAGTAGATGTAAGCCATACAATATTCCTTCCAATGACCTTTCATTCTATAATGAAACCAAGGGTCATTAGATTTGGTATTTGTCCTTTCGCTTATATTGTCTTAACCATATTGGGTGCTTTCACAAAGCCCCTTTAGACTTCCTCTCAATATCTTTAAAGGAATCAATGGTTTGCCCACTACCAACTTCGATAAAGGGGTTAACAGTTCTAAGCATGTTAAGCAACTCAATATTTTTGCATTCGAGCTTATTCACGTTAAATTCATAATTAGTTGTGAATAGCTTTAGCTGACAGAGATTACAGAACCAAGTCACTACTTAGTTCATGGTTTGTAATTGAACTCAATTGAGACATTTCTCAACGTCAAGTAGATACTATGTCTAAGTATCGATTGAAGATTACTCTGTCATTTTGCACCCGTATAGTTGATCGGAAGTCTCATATCCTTCCACACTCGATTATTATCATACAACCCTTTGTAATGAAGGATTATGTGTTAACATCTATACTCTCAAGTCACTTTTGTAACTCAGTGACATAGTTGCAAGTATC